CGTAGTCCAGCCGCCGGCCACTACAGGTTGGCCACCTCCACCATAAGCAGACATCATAGTCGACCATCTCCAACAAGACTGACCTTTATAACTGGATCCATCTCCTCAACCACAAGCAACCGTGGTTGTCCTCAGACGCGTAAACATACACAATCTAGCCATAGTACTCTGTCGCACAGTTCACCTAAATGCGCATCTCTAGTCGCCTCCATCTATGTATCTCTCAGCTATGGTCGCCCAGACGTGCGTCCCTAGCTGCCTTCACCAACAATTTCCGCATTCATGCTGACACACAGGCCTACCTACAATGGCATGTTGATATGCTCTTTTGCGTGCTGCTCCTGACAGGCTATAAGTCAGTTTACGAGCCACTCCTTGGCGCGGTTCTCTTTGTGTGTTGCTCCTCTGTGCATCCATCCACTCTGCCAGTCCAGCAAACGCCCCTCTCCTCTATGCCTTGCTTCAATATGCATCCGTCTTTTCTGTCAAAACCTCTTTGCACTAGAATGACACTTTGACATGGTGATTAGCCGCTTCTGCTTAGCCTCTGCTCATTCTAGCAGCCTCCTTGTGCAGTTGCACATTGCCAGTTGCACTCTAGTAGCACAATTGCTCTAGCTGCCATCATTAGTTCTGTTTTTATTAATTCATAGTGATATTTGAGAACTAACTCACACTCTTAATATCTCTAGGGTTTGATGGTTTGTATCATTTACTAACAATTGTACTAAATTATCTAAATATTTTACTCAAGGCAAATATAATATTAGCCATATCATACCTCAATTCTCCAACATGATAAAATTCTGTATTGGAATTGACATAAAAAGATTCCACACTGACAACCCAAAGGTTTTTTTTGATCGTACACTTCAATCATTCTTCTATCAGGAAGAAATTCTTCATGAATTATTCTACATCTATACTTTAGAACAAAAGGAAGTAGCAAACACGAGAATATTCACCTTTTAGCCACCACCAGAGCTTTTCTTTTCCAAGATAATGTCTCGAAATAATCTTGGGGTAAGACAACCTTAGTGCCACCTACATTATCAATTGTTTGCTCACCAACGTTCTTGACTTTGAAAGGTTTCTAGAAACATTTCAAAAATTTTACCTAGTAGTAAACATCACAAACTATTTGCTTCCTCAGATATTTGGGTGTATTGTATTTGTTCATATTCATTTCCATTAGATAGAGAAACTTGATTCCTAAGCCCTAAAATATATACTTGTGAGGTACTTCTTTCAAAAAAGGTACAAATGTTACCATTCACACGCCTGAAAATTCTAATGTGTTTGTAGATATTACATTTGTTGAACAAGAATCCTACTCTACCAAACCTTATCTTCACGAGGAGTTTGTATTGGAAAGATAAATATGTGGAGTTCTTAACAGATTTTACCTTACCACCTTTGGCACACAACCCTTTGCCATACACCTCAACACTATCAATGCAAGAGAACTTTTAGAACCTACCGAGGAATTTTTCTACTCAAAAGATTATACCAGATCCTAAATTTTTTCTGGTGTATACATGAAGAAAGATGTCGAGTATGGAGACTAAATCGGTTCAAGAATCCGACTTTGATCTTGGAATTGAGGTAAGTACCAAAAACACTATATAGTTTAATAATGATATACCTATTGCACTTCGTAAAGGTATAAGAAAATGCATTAAACGCCCACTTTATCTTATCTCACAATTTGTGTCATTTGATAAGTGCCTACCATCCCATAAAAATTTTCTCATAAGTTTAAATATTTAGTCTATTCCTGATACAACAATTGAGGTATTATCTTGTGAAAAATAGAAAAATGTTATGAATATGGAAATGCAGGCACTTGAGAAATACTAGACATGTGAAATGATAAATCTACCCAAAGGCAAGAAACTAACATGATAAAATGAGTTTTTACAATTAAATACAAGGCAAATGAGACAATCGAAAGGTACAAAATAAGACTGAAAATAAAGGATGACTTGCAATCTCTTCGAAAAAAATTTGAAAATTTTTTCAAATAATATCAGTTGAATTGGGTAAAGAAGTGTCTTGAGTTAGAGCAAGATATGATATTTGTCTGTTCATTTCAACATCGATTTGAGTCTTCCACAAAGTATTTCAAAAGGATTGGGCTAAAAAAGGATGAAGTATGACGAAAGCAGGATGAAAATGGTACATGACAAGGTTGCTATGGAGTCTAAGTACCAAGAATGGACCACCGAAATAGATGCAAAGTTAGGAGCCCTTTGTTCACAAATGCATTAAACTTGATTTCCACATGCATGATGACTAGATTGACCCCTTGACATGAATAGGATGTGGGAACATTTATTCTTGCACCAACCGACCCAAGAAGAAGAGTGGGTGACCTTGGCTTCGTTTCTTTATTTGGAGGGCGAAGAATAGTTATCGTTCCTTAAAATTGGAGCTTGATTAGTCGAACCTTAATTGGGAGGATCCTAAATACTATTGTCTAGTGTGTTCTGAACCCCATTCAAGAGCAACAATTATGACTTGAGTTGATTTCGACAGCTTGGAGTAGTTGCTAATTGTCAATGATAGTTTGAACTCCTCTCGGCCTAAGCAAGTGCATTCAGGTTGAAGTAGGAAATGTAGATTTTCTTGAGCGGATTAAAGGAGTGCATTGTGGTTGAAGTTGTATCATAAAGCCCCCTCATTTGACCACTATGATGAGTCCTGCTCAACGGTATGAGAGGCGACCTTACCACTTGAGGATTTGACCTAGTGCTTCAAGGTGTTCTTTTCTTCCAAGAACTCTAGTGATAAGAAGACTCTTTTAAGCCAAATTTCATGTTCGACACACAAAAGTTTTCTGTTTTAATTGTGATGAAAAGCTTTGTGCCTAGCCATCGATGTGGGCAATTATTTAGGTTGGAACTGATCGACCAGCTGCTGACCGAGGACCTTTTGCTACAAATCCTTTAGAAATGTTGATGAACTTCCCATTAATGCCCCAAAAGTTTCTTTCCATGCTATTGTTGGCTCTTATTCTCTGTAGGTAGTGAAGATTTTAGGCTTTTTGGATGGGTGCCCGATCATTATACTCATTGACTCTGGAAGCACTCATAATTTCTTGAATGTCGGTTTACCTTGGGAGCTCGAACGTCCAGGGGACTAACAAGGAGATATGAGTATCCTGCTGCTAATGTGAACGCACGTGTTGTGCAAGATTTGTTGCATGTGCCATATGTTTAGTGGGAGTATTTTATGTGGATTTACTTTTAATG